TGAATTCCAAATCTTTTCGAACCCTTTCGAGCTCATCTTTAGGACTGAAGGCTTCTGATATGTTTTTAGCTAGATTAACTAAGTAAAAAAGAAAGTTCTATGATGAGATCCCTTCAAGCAGGTATAAGTTCAGAAAAATCCATAGACGTATAGACACAGATATTGTTGTGTTGTTTTGCCACTGATACTCAGTTTATTATTGGAGTCGTAAACGTGGTGCAAAATAATGTCTAAACTTCTGTGTTGATTGTTTATCCACTTCACCTCGTTCTTTAAGAAATACTGGCCATTATATGTTCGTCAATAAACATGTCATGAAGTATATACTAGATTATTCTCCAGAAGCTAGGCATAATTCAATTGTCGGAATTTGGGATTTATATAAAAAGTATATCTATTGTTCTTTATACTTAGCGTGCGGGAACAATTAATTTCTTTTAGATAAATATTTAACTTCAAGGAATTTATTTGCTATGAATCTTGTAATTGGACCTTAAATAACATGTGATGCTGTCAAAAGACACTGCCTCCGATAGAATACACAATATTAAAAGTGGATTTTTCCCAATCGGTTTGCTTGGAGAATTTAAATCAAGGTGCCTAGTAATAATATTTGTTATGACATTGATGCTACGAAAAACTTTTTTTAAAAGTTCTACAAATTTGAACTTATGCGTGCATTATTTGCCATTTACCGAAACTAGCTATTCTCAAAATAGCAAATCCTTACTAGGCATTCTTAGGCCTAAACCTAACCAGGAAGTTGTTATATACTCTCTCACCATTATGATCTCGGAAACGGTAAGAGATACGAGGCCGAATAAATAAAGACAAAGTTGCACATTTGGGTAACTAAGAATATGACATACACTATCATCGTCAGACCTAAGTTATATATATATATATATATATATACGTATATATATATACAGGGTGACTTCGAAGTTGAGTCATTTATTTTAACAGTGAGTAGATCTGATCAAAAGAAATGTTTTTTTCATTTACCATTTTTCTGGTAAAATTAAAGTAACAAAGTTATAGCCCTTTGGAAGTTTGAGTACCGCCCTGTCTAATATTATGTGCTCGTGTTTGGCAACAACGGATATAATCCGCCTTATCGGTTCATCGCATCGGAAACAAAAAAGCGAAAGAATTTGCAACGATGTTTTACAATTATTTTATTCAGTTGTATACAGTCAGTGTCAGTCGGTAACGCGTGAGTGAATAGTGGTGTCTGTTGCGTGGCTCAAACGAAATCAAAAATGGCACATGTTTACGAAAATGCTGAACTTGTGGACATGATTCTTATTTACGCGGTATCACGGATTTATGCGGATCGGTTTCCCAATCGAGTGCAACCAACCCCTCGTGCCTTTGTTAATGTAGTACAAAGGGCTCGTGAATCAAGTGACTAAAGACCTCACAGGGGAGGGCATGCCGGTGCTCCAAGACCGCACGATCAAATACAGGTCCGCACTGAAATACTTGTCGGGAGGATACTTTATAAAACAAGGTAACATTCTTATTTTTTTTTATTTTTACACACATATTTTGGTTTATCTTCCTTCTACAATCATTATCTGAAAATTAATGACTCAACTTCAAAGTCACCCTGTATATATATATATATATATAATAATCCGGCTTTATTTATACAAAGTATAAAAAGGCGAAGTGTCGCTGAAAAGCGTTTTTTTAACTTATCCCAACAAATATTTGTGTAAATTTTCTAATCCTAATGAAAACAAAAAAGAAAAAAGAATCCTGTAACGAGTCCCTATTCATGGCCATAGTCTACTTACTGGGTAGTGAAATCAGAGATAAAATTCTTCAATCTTTTTTCGAAATTCTTTATAGAGTAGTAAGTGAACTCAGTAGGCAACGCGTTGTATAACTTAATGGCAGTATATTATATGTACGACCTTTTAAATAGAGATGTTGAATGTCTCGGAATAACCATGGATGCTTATTCTTTGTATTCAGTTGATTGAGTACCTGATAAATTTGGTTGATAGATGTGGAGGGGCTTGTGTTGTGATTACTTTATGGGTCAAGGTCAATACGTGCATTTTTTGTAGCTCTTCTGTTTTTTGAACACCCAGCTCACGGTATTTATGTGATACTGTCTCAAATTTTTTCACTCCACAAGCAAATACCAAATCTGAGACACGCATTTTGAATGAACTCTCCTTTCCTCAAGCAATGTTAATGCAGACTCATAAATACAGTCGGGGTAGTGAATTCTAGACCATAACTTCAGCTTGAGAGCAGTATTCATACTTTTCCTATGAGGAAATAATTGCTTCAAGACATCGAATGATGTTCGGCACGGTTGACTAATATGTTTTTCAACCCACAAATCAGAATCAATCCAGAGTCCTAAATTCTTGCACTAATTTTTTATAGGGATCGGTTGGTCTAAAATGCTCAATGATAATGGTTTTGCCTGACTTTTTTTATTTTTGGTCCAAATATAACTGCGGTTGATTTTAAGGGGTTAATTTTGAGATTATGGGCACAAGATACGTTAGATAAATTCATTAAATCATTATTAATCCAATATTCGGAATTTTTTAAATCTTTAATATCAAAGCCAAAGTACAACTGAGTGTCGTCAGCATAGCGATGAATACTGCAGTGTTCAACGTACTCGTGGAAGTCAGAAATGTAAATTGAGAACAATAATGGTCCCAGAATGTTACCCCTAGTTTCACTGGTATCTCCTCCAAAATACTTGACCCAATCACAACCCTCTGACTCCTGTCAGTGAAATAACTTAATACAAAATTAATTGCAAATTCCAAAAAACCAAAGTATATAAGCTTTTTCACTAGAATAGATGGTTCCAGAGTATCAGAAGCCTTTGTATAATCAAGTAATACTAGGCATGCTAAATTTCCTTGATCTATACATCAGATCTGACTTTTTCAAATTATTATTTAAGGGTAGTACTGAATATAATGAAAACAGTAGTATTTTCTATAACTTTTTGGGAGTAAGTAAAAGCATCGACCATATTGTAACTTCAAATATATTTCGTATCTCCCATATTTAAACCGATACACACATCTTGCATTAGCACTGAGATTCGATGTAGAGTGCCTCCGTCGAGCCAACATAATAGTTGTTGTAGTCGGTAAATGGGCAAATTATCTTTATGTCCTTTAAAGACGTTTCTCAGAATTTGAAGCATTTTTTACTTAAGTTTTACAATGCCAATGTATGGCATGTATTTGAAATCCCATCTCAAATAACGCCAGGAAAGAATAAAAATGATTTTGGGAAGAATTGGTTTGCTTTATAATGTACTCGGAACTACCACATTCAACCGACTTCGTATATCTTACCGTTTTCAAGATACCAATGGTAAGAGTCGAATTTGAAACACCCGGTATGTGGATACAGCTAATATACGCTTACTCGTATAAGCAATAGTTGCACGACCTTTAGATTGTTGCACAGGTTACTACTTTTATTCGAGATTCTGTTCGGTGACACTGAAATAAATCCGTCTTGCCTTCTTAATATGTAGGTATTAAACAAGTTTTCGAAATTTGAGCAAGATTAGTAAGTAAAAATACTCTTTTAGACCTTTTGTGTTCAAAATGGGGGCGCGTCTGTCTTGGAGGGCGAGACGTCATATAAAGAGGGGCGTAAATGAATCAAAATCGATTTTAAGATCTAATCAAGTCAATCAAAAAAAGTTAGTCTGAACTTGTCAATGCGATGGTGTCATCTTGCATACGTCTAACAAGGTTATCAATAATGGCCTAGCTTTTGAAAGGAAATATGTTGGCAAGATTATGTGAACTTCGAAATGGGGTAATACAGTTTTAGAAATTCTAAAACGAAGCGGATTGTCTGTGGAATTCAAAATACGACAGGTCCAAGTTGCTTACGTGTTAGATATACATATATTCGAATCGTTGAACTTATTGAATCAAAAATTACATACCACTTCAATCGGGATACTATCACCGCATGCAATGATAAATTGCAGCTCTGGAATCGTAAAATTTCAACATGCAATTATTTATGCTGTCCTAAATTATGATCCATAACTGAAGAAGAATGTTTCAAGATGGGATATGATAAAACTGATATAAGACTTAAAAATCAAATGATTTGCAGCATCTTTATCATTTGGTGACAGCCCTTTTCACGTTGAAAATAAAGAATGATTCTCCTGCAAATGTGAGATGCAGAAGCAATCCTTTTTGGGTAAAATATCTCCAAATTCACAGGGGGAAGTGCTAAAACAATTTTGACTGTTTCAAGCACTTGCTTCTATGAATGTACATTTTCAGCAGTTATAGTCATAAAAACAAAATACGGAAGCAAACTCTATACTGCTACACATGTACATTGCTCCCTTTCTCATGACCAGGATTAACAGCCTTGTGAAAAATATACAAGCTCACCCATCGCATTGATCAAGAAAATTCTTCCTCTTTTTCTAATAAGATTACCTACTTATGTAGAAGCATTTTTGGTAATAAGGCCATTGAACAAATATTGATCTTGTTCCTTGTTTTCACATGCTACCTACATACTCCCACGAGGGGCGTGTCATTATTGTTTTACACCAAAGAGGGCGTATCAAAAATGACTTTTTCTACAAAAAACCTTCGATAGAATGCAAGTCGTTACATTTATTTATCAAAGAGCATTCATACAAATGCCTCACGTACCCATCGATTTGACGATTTTTTTTCTTTGGGAAAAAATGTTGCATGGACGAAGTACTTTGAAGAGAAGAAGCTCAAAAGTCAATTCATTGAGATAGAAAACTTCCTCCTTGAATGAATTAATTACCTACCTCAATATTAGAAATATTTCATTCCAGTCCTAGATCTAACGGAAAAAATAATGTAAAATCTTCGCATAATATTTTTGTTGTCGATGTTCACCCTTTAATTGATTTTGTCTGTTGTTTTCCCAGCCACACTTTTTTATTTTTTGTCAGCAAGGTACATGAAAGAAAAAAATAAAACCGCCCATTAGTGTACGTATAAAATTTTATTTGAAAAAAAAAATTCACAGTAAAAATTCTAAGGCAATAATTGATTCATGGAAGAGTGTCACACTGTGAGCCTCTTTTAACACACTGCTTATTTATTTCTAAACAAATGTTCATCTTTCATAAAATAATTCTTTCATATCCTGGCGTCAAAAAATTAATAGTCATTCATAGATTCTTTCTCAAATTGAAAATTGAAGGCAATATACTCTTATTTAAATGCCTAGAAAATCTAAAGTCAGCCCATATATCAGTCGTCTTCATCCTCGTCATCAGAATCACTCTTTATAATCCCCAAAGTCTTCGCGACACTCTTCACGTTGGATATAACTTCTTCTTGAACGAGGTTAAAGCTCATAGCCAGCAGAGAAATACCAAATAGGAGGTACAACGAACACAAGGCTATACTGATGGTAGCGTAATAACCATCTTGGCTAACACCTTTCGCAGGTACCAAGTCTCCAAATCCTATCGTCGTCAAAGTAATGAAACAAAAGTAAGCTGCATCTAGGTATTCCCAACCTTCCCAGGTCATGAAGAGATAAGCTCCAGCTAAAAAACGATTTGTGTTAGTCTTCCAGCATTTTCCTAGATATGATAAAAAGATGTTTACTGTTCTATCTTAAAAGGATACTATTTGCGTTACTCTCCTTATATAAAAAATAAATTCTGTACCTTCCTTCTCATGGGATAAAAAAAAGTATCCGTTCTACATTAGAATTTTGCCGCGTTCCATAAATTTTGGCAATTTGTAAACAGGTATTTCAATGTGTTTGAAAAATTAGTAGAAAATTACTTTAGTATTTGTAGTATAGTATTAAATAAGTAAATGGTTTATTGCCCAAGAGTTCCAAATTCCAATTATAGGACAATACGAGTGATGTCTTTTAAGTTTTGCATATGGAAATAAAACAATACGGTAGGTAGTGTTAAATAAATTTATTGTTTTTCGAAGTATTCTCCACGAAGACACGACACGACATATCTGCATGCGTTCGAACCAATTTTCGAAGCACTTATTCCACTCGTTTGCTGGAAGATCCAAAACGGCACTTTTGAATGCGTCAACTGCTTCTTCTGGTAACTGGAACCTTGACCACGCAGTCTGTTTTTAATTTTCGGGAAAATAAAGAAAGAAATTGTTAGGACTTAGATCGGGACTATATGTAGGATGGTCTAATAATTCCGCTAATACTGCCTTGCTTTTTGGGCTGTGTGCGAGCTTGCATTGTCTTGGTGGAGGATGATTCTTTTTTCGGGGTTGATTTTTCGAAGCTAGGTGATGACTTTTGGCAAACAAATGGTGGTATACCCATCCGCAGTAACAGTTCTTTGCTCATTAACAGGAATTGCTGCAATATGACCGTCTTTTTCGAAACACTTCGAGAACAGATGACTGTTGTTGGTTTTTCTTCACCTTGGAAGACCCAAACAGCCGACTGTCGTTTATTTTCTGATTCATAACAGTAAACCCCGATTAATCACCACTAACAATGCTGTACACGGTCAAGCGTTTTTCGACACCAATTAACCCTGGCTGCTTTCTGCTCTTCAGTCAACATGTGGGGTATCCAACGAGAAACTAATTTTCTTACTCCTAATTCTTCATGTAAATTTTTTTGAATTCAGGTCCTTGAGATCTTCAAGGACGCCTCAATCGCGCGATCTCAAGTCATCGTTGGTTGTCAGAGCGCTCCGTGGGACCTTTGCTCTTGAGTCACAGTGTCAGTTTGTAAGTCTGTCAGGTCAGGTAACCCAGAAACCAGACAATTTTAAGGAAAAAAGGGGAAGGAAAGGAGAGAAGGAAGAACGAGAGCAAAGGGGAAGAAGAGAATCTTTTAGGATAGGCAGCGTTTAGGCATTGTTAAAATCACTTCACAGATTTTGATATGGTCCAAAAATATTTGTTTTTTTTTTCTAAAGATTGTGTAAAAATGCTCCAATTTTGGTTGTTCTAAGTTCACAAGTTAATTTTGATTACAGTGCGAGCCGCGGCCTTTTGTGCTTGCGAACTTGCTCGACTGTGTAGTCCACTGACTCACGCAACAGAGGGTTGCTGTGCGATTCCGCTAGGCTATAGCGCCGCTGCGCCTGTTGCTTAATGTAGTCCATTAGGTAAGGGACATCGAGGTCCCTATGTAGAGTTTCGTTAGACACATACCATGGGGCATCAGCAATAGTGCGCAACGTCCTGCTTTGCAGAACCTGCAGATTTCGCATGTGTGTCACATGTCAATCTTCAATGATGAGTTTGCGCTCAGCATCGACGTTTTCCTGGGTGACTGCCGGTCTTGGTGCACTCACCCTGGGATCGTCGCTAAGACTCACCCGTCCACGTTTGAATTCTCCATACCAATGGAAAATTGTCCACTGATGTGGCGCTTCATTGCCGAAAACAGACAGTAACTCAGCAAGGCATTCTTGTTGCGATAATTGTCTCTGAAAGTTGTAATAAATTATACTTTAGGTCCAGTCCGAAGACATCACTTTGTTTATTTACTATGTAGTCCGGCCCTGGATTACTAGTCGCACACCAAGTTAAAAGACAAGAGATCCCCGCTTCCGTCTCGTCGCTCTCCGGTCTTGCACGTTGAGTCATTCGGTTTTTGGTGTTACAGTCGTACGGTCGCCCGGCTTGTTTGTGCGTTAGGAAACACGTAAAATACGCGATTCCTTTTCAAATCGGTTTAGTGCTTGGTGAGTAGGTTGGTAAGTAGGTACAACAATGGGTTGTTTTGTTGCTCATCTAGTAGCACGTTATATATAGTATAAGATATACTTAGCAGAAAACCATGGAAGAAAAACCTGGCGGCAGGGACCACGTCAATATTTCCATGAAATTTCAGTTTTTTGAAATTGGCGGCTGCGCCGGAAAATTAGTATACATATACCATATATGCACATTTTTAAAGAAATATGCACAATTTCTATTGACATCTTTGCACAATTCAAAATCTATCGAGAACAACCAAACAAAATACGAGTCCAGTAATTATTTGTTACATATGCACAATCGCCAATAAATAAAGTGCATTTTTTATACAAAACTGGCAATACATTTTCTTAACAGCTTCTCGAACTGAGTGAAATGTACTGTTAGACAACTGTCAAGGTCTCGTTCGCGGAGTAGCATCAGTCGTAGTCGATCACCGAGCGTGTCGAGGTGACGTAGAGAGAGACGAGAATATGTACGGGAAAAAACCAGAATTCATCAGCCCAGCTGATAATGCACAGCGTCAGGTAGGCCTGGCTGGTCGTTCCCCGTGCGGGCCGGAAGCTCAGGTACTGACAGGGCCGGATTTGGGAGCGGCGCCAATAACGCAAAACTGTATGGACGATGTTTTGATACTCGACGATGCCGATTGTATGCCATTATCAGAGGACACATTAAATATTCTGGGTGCCGATCCTGAAAAGGCTAATACGTCTAGTTTTAAACTTCACGGTGCCCTAGCCTCCAGGTGGTCCCATATTTTGGCAAACAGGCTATCCGCCGAAGATATTTCTATCCTTAGCGAAAAACCAAATGTGCCATCTAATTTCGCTTTATTACGTCCTCCAAAAGTAAATCCCAAAGTGAAAGCTATTCTTTCATCCACACATTTAACTAGGGATTCCACTCATTCCGGGTACCAATGGCACATTGGTAATGGACTAACCACCCTGGGAAAAGCACTCAACGGTATATTGAAAGACGAATCCAGCATCCCTAAAGACATTACACCAGGAAGTTGAGGGTAGAAGCAGCAGGTCCAGGTCTCGTGCCGATTCGCCCCATTACTTTAGGCGTTCTCGTTCTCGGCTGAGCCGTAGACGTTCAATGTCCGGGGATGTTCCGACATGCACAATTGTGCATATTATGCACAATTTTACGAACATATGCACAACATGCACCCCCCACACAAAATTAGCCCAGTACTTAACAAATCAGTTAAAGAACTGACTGAAAATACCATACCTGGTGAAATTTTGTTTGGGCCAGATTTAGGTGAACGAGCAAAAAATTTGAAATCTTTGGAACAGGCAGGACAGGACTTACGTTTGCCTTCTAACCCCTCACGCATTAGCTCTCAATCAGCGCGGGCCTTCAATCATTCCGAAAGAAGAGGGGCGGGGCAGCTCGTCCAAGAATGCAGGACCTTAAAACAGGTATCGCCCGTCTTACCGCAAGAGTTAGGTGAGGCAATACAAGGGCCATTCCTCGAAACAGTTTCCTCAGAACAGACAACAGCAAACCAGGAAACGCTGAAGGTAAAACAAGTTCCGTTTGCTGGCCGTTTACAGTTTTATTTGGACTCTTGGTCCAAACTAACCTCAAATTTGACAGTCTTATCCTGGATTCAAGGTTATAGGATTCCCTTTAAAGACAACCCTCCATCATGCCACCACTTGGTTAAAAATAATTTTTTCCCTACAGAAACATCGCTAGTAAGATTAGCTATAAACGATTTGTGAAGGTCCGGAGCCATACTCAAATCTGAGTCAAGGCCCAAACAATTTATCTCTCCATGTTTCCTAGCAGATAAATCCAGCGGTGGAAAAAGGTTTATTTTAAATCCAAAACAATTAAATGAATATGTGGAATGTCCGCATTTTAAAATGGAGGACCTACCAACGGCTATTAAAGTGACTCACAAAAACGTGTATATGTGCACAATCGACTTGAAATATGCATACTTTTTGGTAGCCGTTCACAATGACCATCAACCATTCCTTAAATTTCAATTTGAAGGTCAATTATACCAATTTACCTGCATACCGTTCGGGTTATGTACAGCTCCGTTATGCTTCACAAAACTCATGAAGCCAGTCGCCTCTTTTCTCCGCACTTTAGGCATCTCTACAGTCAATTACCTAGACGATTTCCTAATATTCAGAGATTCCTATGAATCCTGTCTCAAACATGTCTACACAACCATTTGTCTTTTGAAATCGTTAGGTCTTATAATCAATAAAAACAAAAGCATCCTAGTACCTACCACTTACATAAAATTTCTAGGCTTTATGATAGATAGTGTCCATTTAAAAATAGAACTTCCTGACGAAAAGAAGCCTATCCCTGAAAGTATAAAGCCAGATATTTTTTGGTGGACAAATCATATTTCAAAAGTCTTCAATGACATCAGGTATGATTCCTTTCATATAACAATTTTTACCGACGCATCACTTACAGGATGGGGTGCTGGTTGTGGCCATGACAGAACCCATGGATTCTGGTCTGACTCTCAAAAACGGTTACATATAAATAATTTGGAGTTATGGGCTATTTCGTACGGGATTCAGTGCTATGCCAAAAATTTGAAAAACTGCAATATTCTAATTAGACGTGACAACACGACAGCTGTTTCATACATCAACAGAATGGGGAGTGTTCAATTCCCAGACCTCTGTTCGTTGTCAAAACAAATTTGGCAATGGTGTGAGCAAAGGAACCTCTGGCTCTTCGCTTCATACATTCCTTCGAAGGATAATGTTATAGCAGACACCGAGTCCAGGAGTTCGAATTTGGAAACGGAATGGTCATTATGTCAAACCGCCTTCGACCGTTTAACCACCCGTTTTCGGAAACCTAGAGATTGATCTTTTTGCTTCCCATACAAATGCTAAATGCAAGTTATATGTCTCCTGAAATAGAGATTTTATCTTTACGCAGTTCGTATAAATTATGGTGGGGTTGTTGCTTCAGTAATGACATTTCGCTTTTTAATCCCACAATCAAAGAAGTGGTGTCATTCTTGCAAGAATTGATAAATAATCAAAACCTTACGTATGACACTTTTAACTCCCATACATCTGCCCTTTCATTAATTTGCTCAAAGGATTTAGCCTCTAATCCGATAATTAAACGCTTCAAAAAAGGCATCTCTCGCTTACGGCCTTCACGACCAAAGTATACTGCCACCTGGGACCCTATATCCCTTGTAAATTATTTAGAGAAGCTATCATCACCGCTTAGTCTTCAAACTCTGTCACAGAAATTAACGACGTTATTAGCCCTGATAACAGGAGAAAAACTCCAGACGATATCTCTTATACGTCTCTCAAATATAATCCATGGTCACAGTGAATCAACTATTAATATATCGGATCCAATTAAAACCAGTAGAGTTGGAAAACCTCAACCCACTCTGCACATCCCGATTTTTCAACAAAACCCCTTTCTTTGCGTGGCCACAATCCTGAAAGAATACATTGATAGAACGGCTTCTTTAAGAGAATCCAATAACGATTCCCTATTTGTGACAGGGAAAAAACCCCATGGCAGGGCGTCTAAAGACACTTTAAGCAGATGGGTAAAACAGACCCTTGCCTCTGCAGGAGTAGACACAACACTTTTTACGCCTCATTCAGTAAGGCATGCGGCGACTGAAGCGTTAAGAAAAGGCGTTTCCGTAGATAACATATGTAAAACAGTTGGTTGGACGCAACGTTCCACGTTTGCAAGATTTTATAATCGTCCTCTACAACCAAACAATGAATTTGCAAATGCAATCCTAGAAAAAATTGGTCTGATTAGTTAAGTTCTAATACTCTTGAGAGTTTGTTACATGTTTCCTGTGTTTCAGATATTTCTCATATCAACGTTATCTTTAGGTTACAATTTGAGAATTTATTTTCTGTTTGTTACATAGGAATACTAAATATATGGTTTTGTCGTTTCTGAATACTTTGATTCCACTTTATAACACCATCAGATCGCTCGCAACTGTGTTCTATCTTTAAACATCTACATAGTAAATAAACAAAGTGATGTCTTCGGACTGGACCTAAAGTATAATTAATCGAACAAACGAACTTTCCTTAAGTGAAGTTCGATCGTAATTATACGAGGGTCCAGTCCGAAGCCATCACTCCCACCCCTTTTTCAACCCTCCCACGTTGCGAGCAAGTACCATTTCTTTTAACAAATGACTCAACACTCAACGTGCAAGACCGGAGAGCGACGAGACGGGAGCGGGGATCTCTTGTGTTTTAACTTGGTGTGCGACTAGTAATCCAGGGCCGGACTACATAGTAAATAAACAAAGTGATGTCTTCGGACTGGACCCTCGTATAATTACGATCGAACTTCACTTAAGGTAAGTTCGTTTGATCGATTTTGATCGATTAATTATGGCGCGAAAATGTTCTCGGTTGGGTTCCATTTCTCTAATGACTTGGTGACACTTAAAAATTCACTGTAGTGAGAACACTGCACAAAACTTAAAAGACATCCCTCGTATTACTAGGTTACTGTTATTTAAGATTAAAGGCAAAGAAATTGAAAAAACTACCATCACAAAAAAATCTTGATTATAACAAGGCAGCGAACCAAAAATTCTATTCGTAAGTGCTATGGTACCGTCCGTACTGGTATATCCCTAAATGAAGATGCCATATAACCAATTCCGATTATGTTAATTAAACTTAATCGCAATTTATAACTTGTTTCAATGCGATCAGTGTCGCAATGCGAAAAGTATCGTTTATAGATTCACAGGAGAGTTGACAGATAAATTTACCCTAGAAGTAACATGGTCATGCAATATTAGCCCCCACTGGGGCTTAAATCGAAAATCGATATAGAAATTTATTGTTATCATAAGCTTTATCGGGTTAGCTCCCATCAGTTCTATATGTAGTATTCTTCGAACGAGGAATTTATTGTGTACTGAAAAACTTCTTAGCATAGGCGTTTGATATATTATAGTTATGTTTATATCTGAGGATTATAAGGTAAAATGTACGAGTTACCTAGTATATAGCTGACAACAAGCAACACACAAAGTCCTATTGGTACTGGTTTGATAGTTGATCTTCCACTTTCGTAGTAGTCGTCATCATAGTAGTCCGTGTCGGACTCAGGATCATCCAGGTATTTACTCCTGTGACCATATCCTAGAGGAGTCATCATCTTGGGAGGTCCCATTGGCACTAAAATAAAATGTTGGGTAGGTACTTGTAAGAAATGGTCCTGCAAGGTAGCCCTGCTGAAGCTCGCGCAGATCTACGACATGACGCAGTTGTATGCAGGACAAATCAGGAGTGAACTAGGTGGTTGTAACATACGTGAGCAATTCAAAATTCTAGTTATTGTATTGTTCCCATCTTCGGCAGCTTGGACATGCTTAGAGAGGAGTCTCCCCTCTCTTTGATGCACAAACCTGCAATTGTTTTATAAAACAGTACATATTGCTGTATCTTGGTGCGGAAATTGCTTAAGACCTCAATCATGCAGACGTACTCCCCTCTCCTCAAATGCCCACGCCTCCCCTCCCCCTTTACAATTTTAATAGCATCCGAGCACCACTGCTAACCACCCTAGATCCCTTTCTGTTCGGCAGTAAGACTGCAGCTGCGTTGCGTCACTGATTTGCATCACCGTTTGTCTCAACTTGCTGTTGTCCTTAAGATGCCCCTATACAGGAGAATTAAGCATTATGCAAAAATATAGTACTGCCGAAATATCAGTAAAAGAAGCCGTTACTTTTAGATCAATGTTAAACATTTTCGCTTCCACATCCTCATAGACAAAATATGCTTACTTGGCGACTTAGATCTCCTGCCCCTAGAAGCTCTTTTACCGCGAATTCTGCTGCTCTGTGGCTCAAAATCTTCCTTATCACTGGACTCTGGAGAATGTATTTCAGGTGGTTCCAAATAGTTTTGCGACCTAGGCATGCTTTTTGACCTTCCGGAAGCAGGTAGTGAGGTGGCTCTACTTTGGTGTTCCATCTGTCTGAGGGTGAGACCTGGAAAGAGGAAGACAAGCGAGGAAACTATTGGAGGAGACTGGAGCGATTCATTATTGAAGACAAACGGATGATATAGGATGAATATGATGCTCTTCGAGACTTGTTGATGCAGTCCTAGTAAGTTCAATGGCTACAGAAGATATTCAACTTATTCATCTGGTATTCTTGGTCAGCAAATACTGGTTGAGTTTTTAGTGTGTAATCGATAGAGATAAGACACCTATTCAAAACTAATCACACAAATTATAGGAAACTATACGCTCTTTACTGAGAAAATATGTCGCTTTCCACAGAGTGATTAGTAACTACATGGCAACACAAACATGCATTTCCTCAAATATAGATCCCTGTATATTTTCAAGTACCTCTTTAAAGTATAAAGTTTGATATAGCAAACTATAGGGTTTAGATTGATATTTCTGAAGGTATATGATATTTCGTCCAGAAAACACTCAACTCCGACAGTTTGTAAACATGAGCTCCATATCACGTAGCTTCTCGTCATTAAAACGCTTTACAATTTTTTTCTATGATCTATAGAGGGTGTTTTTAAAGACACATGTTCTGTCTGATAGAGCACCCTGTATACTTTTACGGTTTTGTATTATCCTTTTTATAAGCTTCATTTTGGCATAACATTTTGAGAGATCAGATTACTGTAGCAGTAGAAGTAGTAGTAGTAGCAGTAGTAGGAGTAGGAGTAGTGTTAGTAGTAGTAGTAGTAGTAGTAGTAGTAGTAGTAGTAGTAGTAGTTTACCAGATATTACATTTCAAAATCAATAAACATTAATTTATTCGCGGAGAGAGAGGATTTTCAATAGATGGCTACAAGCCTTCACTTAGTTTTTTTGTTTCCACGAAGAGTATGGTATTTATTTTGAATTGTAGTTCCAGGGAAACGACAAATAACTAAAAGACTTAGGGTGCATTTCACAATTTAACAAACCGTTATTCTGCCCCAGGGTACGAGTACCAAACAGTCCGTTAAATATACCCAATCAGCCTCAAGATCTCTCTGTCAAATTTTTGGAAGCAAATAGCATCAAAGTATTCAAACGAAAACACTGTAAAATATGAAGTGACACAACGGGACGTGATCATCGTTAGACTTGACAACCCTGCAAGTGACGGATAGATATCCCTGCCAATCAACAAGGCAATCAAACAAGAAACATTATCAGTTTTTATGACTTTTGGAGTTAAAAGACATTATTTGTGAGAATGTTTTCATAATTTGTTGTCTATATCCACAGTAATTGCATTAAGCATCACGGAGATGTAGGGATTGAATCGTCTTACACATATTGTCTGTGTTTTAGGATGGAGAGGACATAACGTTTTTATTGCTTTGAAAAAATTCATTAACCCATAAATTAATAAATTATATTACTATTATGATGTAAAGGAAGATGAGGAATGTATTTTATATTCTATTTTCTTGCAAAATACAGACAAATCAGCGCTATTAAATTTAACTGCTAGAAAATCGACCTATTATTTGCCGCATTCTCATTGGCTTTGGGGATAACGGATTGTTAAATGTAAATTTATAAGAGAAATCAAAATACATGAAATTTGTCCTGTTTTCTCTGTACAAAAGTATCATGTTGGAATCAAAAAGTGGTCGTGTTTATAATACAATCGAATTTTCACGATTTTATTCAATATTTTAATAGAAATCACTCATATTCAGAGACCTTTGACAGTTTCCGTCAAATTGCATTTCGGTAAGATATTTTCTCATTGGCCCAAGTTACCGTCAAATATTAATGATGGTGAAATTGGCCCTTAGTGCCTTAATCCCCCAAAATTGTTATTGTTATACCAAAATGAATCATATAAAATGGATAAATCCAATTGAATTTTTTGACAAGTAGTATATTTTGCACTTAAAACGCTTCGTATGGATGATGCACGAAATTTAAAAGACGATGAAATGTCGAAAAGCTACTATTCTATCTGCAAAGATGGTTGACTTACAGGCTCTCAAACTTGCTTGTTTGTACAAAATATTCCGTAGCTCCAGAGGCGGCAATACAAACCCTATAGCCTATGACCAAGCAGAAAGCGGCATACCTTCCTAGTAAGGAGCGCCTAGTTGCCTACATATATTTAATTAACTTTTTTGGATATTTTCAAAAATATCCATTACACATTAACTCCTCACCCTGTATACTGAACTGAACTGAGCTTATGGGTCGTCAAGTTATACTAGAGCTACGCACTTTGCCGAAGAAGAGATTTTGCGTACTATAGTTTTGGAACTAAAAATATTTACGTTATTCTCCAACTCACCTTACATAAACGTAGCTCATTACTCCAAAAATAATTAATAATTTTCATTGTTTTATTAATCACTGAGCCATATTCATCCTATAAAGGTCAATATTATGGATTATGAGGGCAGTGATTACAAAAATCAAAAAGCAAAATGGTATCATGCCATGAAACGGGCTCATGGAACATCAGCTCAAAAACGGCGAGTGAGCTTTGCATCTCATCATCATCTCAAGAAAACTACTTCAAATTCATTAAATTACAACCATTGCAGCATCATAGCTCAAATAATTGCGCCAAGTGAGTTGACTTTAAACTTCCCACACAATCAGTTTATACAGGATTATGTTCGGCACAAATTAACCCGTCTCAAGAAAAAACAGCTACGAACATGCATAACCGTTCCAAGTTTTAAAGCCACTGTATAGAAAAAGCTATGGTGATATCCAAAGTTGGCTGATGTCATAATGCGTACGAGAGTGATGCACGAGAGAAGCGTGCAATATGTATGTTAGATAGAGTACGCCGATGGCAACGCGGCAAGCTGCAGGTGCGTCCGTGGCCTCGTCACACGGGCTGCTAGGCAACAAGGTCCTTCTATCTCTTTCTAACACACGTATTGCATGCTTGATATATGGATTTTACTGTACCTATATATTTTTTGTACACTAACACAAAATTTTAGAAGCATTTAATAATTTATCAAGTATCAAGTAAAAGACTTTATTATTGTTTATAGTATATACTTAATTTAAACTTTTTTATGTATTTCCAAATATTGGTTGAGTAGTTGTGACCCCTACTGAGCGGGGCCGTGGCAAATGCTTGTTCCGGCAGTACCACTCGCTAGCTTTTCTCAGGGTGTCTTATAAATGTCCGCACGTTTCTACACCTAAGCTACGCAGTCGGTTATCTTCCAAAACAAAGGAATTAATGATGATGGATCCCTCGAGCACTAAGAACTCCGGACATAAACTCACTCCACTCTCGGAATGTGCGGGAACATCTGCGGGATTAACAGCAACATTGATGCTGTTCATCACTACCTGCAATCCAATCGTCCCGCCGTGCTTTTCTTGGCGGGGACAAACATCTCAGAGTCCGCACCGATTAACTATCTTAACTTCCCAAACTACGAGGTGCACTCCAATCTGAGAAAGAACGGGGATGTTTCTTTGGAATCAGACCGGAAGGACATTCTGTGGCTTCGCCTCAACTCCAAAACATCACCCAAATTTATTTGCTGCCTTTATCGCTCTTCCTCGGACCATAACTGGGATGACCTACTCGAATACCTCGCCGTCCAGATCGACTTCCTGAACATCAATCATCCCGCTTCAGAGGTAGTTCTTCTCGGTAATTTCAATGCCCATAATGAGCTTTGGTTGGGCTCAAACAAGACCGACACAGCAGGTCGTACAGTCGAAGCGTTCGCTCTTACCCAAGGGCTGACTCAGCTGGTGACGAGCCCTACTTTTTCCCCAGCATCTCGTCACACGCCAGTAGCCTGCTGGATCCCTTTCTGACCACTCACCCTGTCCCTAACACCACCGCTGTCCTGTCCTCCCTGGGTAACTCAGACCATGGTGTTGTGGAGGTTAGGTTTCGGTCAGAACCCGTGGTAGCAACAGAAACTCGTACAGACCGCAAAACTTGGCATTATGGACATGCCGACTGGGGGGGGCTCAGAGACTTCTTCTCTAGCTTCCCTTGGAAAGATGTCTGTTTCACTGACGCGGATGCCTCGGCTGTCTGTTCTTCGATAACCGAAATTATCCACGTCGGAATGGAGGAATACATCCCTGACACAGTGAAAGTGCTTAGACCAGGGTCCAACGGCTGGTTTAACAAATCGTGTGACGCTGCTCGCCAGCAGAAGATCAAGGCACACAGAACATTCTTACAAAACTCCACTGTAGAGAACAGACAAGCCGACGTTGAGTCCAGAAACAAATATAAAGCAGCGGTTCGCAATGCCAAAAACCAGCACGATATGAAAGTTAGGCACAGGGTAATGTCGCAGCGCAAAGGCAGTCGGTTTTTCTGGACGCTGGCCAAGCAGATTGAGAAGAACTTCTCACACAGTCGCCTTCCACCACGTGTCAGAATGGAACTATTGTATTCAACTCAAAGGCCAATGTGGAAGTGCTAGCCAAGATCTTTGCTGCCAACTCCACCATGCCAACTGCCTAAGGTTAATAGAACTGGGAAAGGCTTCCTCTTGTAGATTGTTCCACAATCTCGATACCGTCGGGGCAAAGGAGCGGTCGTATCGGCCGGTTCTGGATGTACGAAGTTCGACACGGTTAGGATGGGACGCCAAAGTCAGAAGGGTCTGTCTGGCAGGCACATCGCGCGGCGGCATCATGGAAGAGAGCTCTGAGGAGCAAAGCCCGTTGGTGTAACGGTAGAAAAGAGCTAGATCGCCGACAGCCCACCGGTGCGAAAGAGTCCCGAGACTGTCTGTTAGAGAAGAGCCATCGATCAGTCGGACCGCCCTCCTCTTGACAGCATCGAGCACGGATAATATAGTCGGGGCGGCAGCACCCCAAACGTGTGAGCAATACTCGAGGCTAGGCCTTATCCGGGCCTTGTATAGAGTGAGAAGGTCATGCGGATAAAAGTACTTCTTAGCCCTAAACAAATAGCCTAGCTTTTTCCCAGCGGTTGCAGCTATTGACGAGATGTGCCAGATCAGGTCCTCGGTGATCGGGACTCCG